CTCGAATTAGAGTCATTTATCATGTAAAGTTTCGTTATTGCTGACTCGCAAGCATGTTTCCTACAATCGCAAGCATGTATCGTCTGTCGTTTGTTGTTCTCAAGTAAGCTATATCGGACGCAAACTTTTATTGACGTCAAGTTAACTCCGGTTCTTTCAAACGCGCAATTGATGTTTGGAGAATTCTACGGTGAACCGTACGCGCATAATTTCCAGGCATGTGGCATTACCGTTGTGTTACCCGTTGTCACGTGTGTTGCTAAGGCTCAGGGTAATTGAACGGATTGTTAACTGCGTCTAAACCAATCAGATTTTAGTATTTAACATGAAAGTATAATAATATAAATTATTACAGAATTTATAAAGTTGACCTGGGTTGTATAAATCGGCACTGCATAATGCTAAGACATCCTGAATAAACCCGGTATGACACATGAAAATTTAACATTGGTGTATCAACAGCATGCTCGTTCTAGAAAAGAGACAGGTTGTTCTTTTAATGTTATATAAGGTACCAAACAGAGAAGAATACATGTAAATGTTCCCGATAGTTTCATCCACAAGCAAGAAAATCTCCGGCTGACGTGACGTTACGTTGACGCAGCGATGCTGCTACAAGTCGATGGACATGTGCATGTTTATAATTTCACCCGAACTTTTCTAATTATTCTGTAATGGGAAATTTCGCAGAATCGTTTTATTTGTTCCTTATAAAATGTTGACGAATTTTCATGGATTTATCTTTGCCCTTTACAGAATTAAAGTAAATGTCTCAATAATTTTCGAACATGCCTCGTATATTCCAGCCAGCCTGTACTGGTTGATTCTTCTATAGTTACAAGTGACTTACCATTAACGAAGAATGCATCAGACACACAGTGATTTTTTTAAAGTAATTTTTGATTTGCCTTACAACAGACATGTCCAGTCAGCAAATTAGGATCTTTTTACATAAGAAGTAACTTACCGTTAAAGAGAAGAGTCCGAGCTAGCCAATCAGATTCCTCCTTAGTTTCTATTTCTACCACATGGGAACATCTCGCTTCACATTCATACTGGAAATTAATTCAATATCATATTACATTCCCAAAGTGAAGTTAAGGAACAAATATTGTTTTACTCTGTTTTCCAATTTTCTTATGAAATGCTCAAGCACTCAGTATTTCAATACATATACATGTACCTGCAGATGATGTCATTGAGTAAGCAAGCACAAGCACAGTCATGCTCATTACTCTCATTGAATGACAAAATATCCATAACAATGAAATATATGAAGAAAAATCCATTCAAACAAAACAAATCATGAGCAGAGCAAACAAGGGCAGACTTCTAAGACCCCAGAGATGGGATCAGGTGCAATGATGGAACACCCGCTGTGTGCTCCTAGTCTTGATCGGGAAATAACGGGAATTCGAGTGAATTACAATTCAGTGTGTAAATAATGACCTAACTATTAGTATAGAAAACTTCACTCAGCATTTGACTTCACGAGTCATTGTGTCGACTGTAGAATTTATAAAATGCTGATTTAAACTGAACGGTTTATATTCTTGTTTCATCAACTCGTCGCCCAAAACTCTCCCCATTTTAGAAATTATTTATACATACGTAGATCTTCATTTTTAAACAAAATAATTTGAATCAACCATGAAGCATAAATCACGATGGTTTACAGTATCAAATAAATAAAAAAAATCTTCAAAATACACACTTGCCGGTATTCTTCGGCGTGCTCTACTTTGATAATATAACGCTTTTTTGTATATTTCATTTTACTTTTTTCAACAAAATAGAATGGCGTTCAATGCCTTAATTAAGAAGTATACATTGAATGGAGTTTTAAGTTATGTCTAATATCATTATCTTACCATTGCCTCAATCCAGGAGACCTTTCTCTTGCCAATAAAGTAGCAGTGAGTTTTATATTTCACCCAGCCCGGATCACATCCTGTTTCAAAGACGCAAAATTTTTGTGTACTGTCAAGCCGTAATAAAAAAAAGTTTCAATATCGTAAGAGCATACCCTAGTTAAAATTGAAAGAAGATGGGCGCATTTGGCATGTGATCTGCAGGAATCATTTGTGCAAAACATTTATGGTTTAAATGTTCATGATTTGGTTGGCTCAACAAAGCTGGTCAGATCTTGCAAACACGTCCATAGAGTTTTTTTTTTATTTAGTTTGAAAGACCTTGTAAGAGTGTAACATTTTTGTCCGTTTTTCCTTGGGGGTACTATAACATAGTAATGTTTCACAAAAATAAACACCTAAAATATTTAATGCATAGATGCATGATACGTGTACATGTACATTATAGAATAGAAGATCGGAACTGATTTCGCTCGAGAACCAAACTGAACCAAAATTTATCAAATTCAAAATTTTAATACATCAGTGCATAAAACGAAACTGACAAAATAAATGGTTGTTTGCATGAAAAAAAATTAATGTCCCAGGCCAGGCTCGAATCAAAAACTTTCGCTTCGAGCACACTCAACAGGTAGGCCTTCTTACTGAGCTATCATCGCTACACATATACAAATGATTTAAAAAGGACAAAGAATCACCACATTCACACATTCACACATTTGGATCTTTTGGGAAAAAGTTCATTTTTCGTGGTCTCTGGGTCTTCTCACCATTTTTTAAACTGTGTATTTGTTTCTTTGAATTAAAATACACACAAAAGACGTTTAAAAATCATGGAGAGAAGACCCAGAGATAGAAAAAAAATTAGAAAAACGTGTTTAAAAATGTACCATTTTGTACCAAATGTCTGATCTGGCCAATTTTCAAGTTAATTTTTAGCTAATCAAAGCTCAATTTCGGGAAAGTGGTTTCCTTTCCTGTTGCACAGGAACCCGATAAATATTTTTTTTTTTTATAAAATTCATACAACATGTAGATAAACTTTTCACTTTTCAATTACGCCCAGATTTCTGCCGAATGCCAATCAAAAGCGCCCTAGTTCTTTTAAGTGAAAAATTGTTTCAACATGTAGTGCCTGGTACGTATAACTCCTTTAAACAAAAAAACCATTAAATATCATTTTAATCTTCCAGTAATTGCGTTCAAGTTAATAACTTAATTACATCTGTGAATAATATTCTTTTAATTAAAAAAAAGTATTTTCACTGCAAAAAAAAACCTTTAAAAATCATCATTGTATTGTATTTTCTGCGAAAATATTCATATTAATCGATATGCATTCATGTGAGAAAGAGAGAGAGAGAGAGATTTACCTTTCTTGATGATTTTAACACCACTGTGGGTACTGAGTCTCTCAAACATCTGCCTTAGGGAATCCACAGATTCTCGAATCTTTCCTTGTTGAGTCATAAGTCTTTGAATCTGTACCATTACCTCATAATTACTTACATAGTCATTGTTTTCATTTAAATAAATGTACTGGGCACCTGTACACATGATGGCAGACAATAGGAACGCTATCCACACTATTGCCATGGTGTAACCTTCTTGTTGTTGTCTTAACGGAAGCGTGGAATAAAGCGTTTCTTGAACTTTGCCACTTCTTTATATATAAACCTGAACAGGGTACTTCAAACTTTAACCAATGAAATGATTCAATTTTGTTACCCCTGAAACGGCTCTTAAATATCAAGCAGTGAATAATACCATCATGAAATAATGCAAACATTCAATTAATTTATAAAAAGTGAAGGAGGTGCGTGAAATGAGAGAGGGGGCGGGTCTGTTACCCCACTTTTTCTAGGCATTGGATCATAAGTCTTTACATGTTCACAAAGTTAACCATATTAACATTTACATTATACAATGATTTTTTCAAAAGAAAAACACATACATTACTAGTAAACAATGAATTTTTAAAATACATTCTGTCTTGTGACAATATTTAAAATTTTCAACAGATCATTTTAAAAGACAATATGAACTTTATTGTCTTTTAAAGAAAACAATCCTAGTCAAAATAATCATTTTACTTTGTTCATTCCTATTCGTATTAATAAAATACAGTTATTAAAAGGCTCTTTTCCAAAAGGGCAGCAAATCCTATATCACAATACTCTGTTATAGTCCAGCTTCAAACAGTTTTATGTATCAAGCTTCTGATTAGATAATAATTCTGAACCCCCTTGACTTAAGAGCAAATAATGAATTTCGTTAAGTCTCTTCTTTTTAGATCTTCTTGTTTATAATCCTGATTTATAACATTTTCTCCTTACTATGCAACTATTTCACAGAAATGTTAAACAGTGTAACCATAATGGTTAAAGGGACATAAATATGATCTAATGTTATTAATCATTTTGAATAAATAAAGAGAAAAAAATTATAAGCGACATTCTACTTTGCTGATGATCATTCCTATCTGATATAAGATGGAATAAAAAACTAACAAACAATTAAACAAACAAAACTAAATCAAAAAACAGAAATTTGAAGTAGATCAAAAATTCAGATAAAGAAATGATAGTTTATTTTGACAGAAGGATTAATAAATTTTCAAAGTTTGGTGTTGTATATTACCAACTTTAAAATGAATGAATACTGTAAACGTAATACATTCAGTGGTGTATTCTATTTAGCGAATTTGGTGGAAAACAGAGTCCACTAAATCTAGAACATCGCTAAATTTCTTGTATATCATATATTTATACCTTGTATAACACATTCGGATAGCGCAAAGTCAAATCTAAACTAACTTGCTGAAAAAAATAATTTCCGCTAAATATCATACACGCCAAATACATGTAAAATAAATTTACAGTAATCGTTAGAAAGATACCAAAGTGTAAATGTTTAGGTTTATCAATTATATCTAATCTTAATTACTTTAGATTGTAATCAATGAAAACATTGAAATCTAAATATTTATTTTAATGAGCCTATGATATTGCTTTCAGTCACGTGACTTACACTATTGATTTAGAGAGAACATTTGGTTATGGGAATCTGTTTCGAGAAATTGAATGAGTATTGCACGTAAAATAAACATAAACAACGTTTCTCGGCAATAGGACAAGCAAAAATAAAATGAAAAATAAAATAATTATGCTAAAAAGGAACAAAGAAAAACAAATTTTTAAACCTGTCCACCGGATGTATGTTTGAAGAGAAGGTGAGGCTTCTAAGTTTTTTTTTGATAAATGTTTTAAATAAATTAAATATGGGCGTAGACTTGGTTGCTTGGACGTATCGCAACAACGACAAAAAAAAAGAAAAGAAAACGGAGGCGCTACTGGTTTTTCAAAGAACATTTCCATAGACGTACTAATACAATTATAGTATAGCAGTAGGGACGATATCCAAGATACGACACTAGCATAGCAATATATCATGACCAGAGTAACATGAAACAAGTACTCTAACTGAAAAAGAAATTAGAACTAATTTAAGACTATACCGTTTGTAATGTTATTCTGATTAAATATGGACGAAAATATGTTTGATATTTGACTATTGAAAGTTTCCCTAAAATTGCAAAATTATTTGGACATTTAACAAATATATTTCGGTCGAATGTAAAGTTTTTCCTTCTGATACATAGAACACATTTTGTGGTTTGTATTATTATAAAGCCGTCATCAATATGCGTGTACATATCTATGTTTCTTTGTTTCTATAAACATGTCAAGGAAACTAATTTCGATTTCGGAGGAAAACAGTCGAAAAAAGAAAATTTATATTAGAATGAACAATGCCATTTATTTTCTACGATCTTTACATAACAGGGAATCCTTGATAATAATGACTGAAGTAATAATACACGTGGTGCTAAGTGCAATCATGACCTCCTATCTAACACAATAGCACAATTGATATAACAGACGAAAAAAGAGCACATATTTAAGCCACTTCTATTCTAATTATATAAAAATAAAAACAGAGTTCTTTTATTAACATATGTTTCTGAGGTTATAGAAATTGTGATACGGAGTGCAGTCATAACTCTTTATTGTTTATCATATGACAAAGAATGCCTTCACAAAACACAAGACAGGATACAAAAAGATAAGAGAGATTATGCAACACAAAAATATGTGACAAAAATAACATAACCCTTTCTGTAAACACTTTTCTAAATTTTTTCTGTCAACTCATGTAATGTGCTAGAAAAAAGACGATATACTTTAACGTACCACTTCCATAGCATAAATAAAGTGTCGGAGAGTGATAAATTAAAACTTTAGTTATTGTTGATTTAGAAAAAAGCAGAAGAAAAGAAACATTAAGACATTAGCAACATTTTCAATTGTGGAATACCCTTATATCTTGCAAAAGATTGATTTTAGAAAAAAGAAAGTGAATATTTTAAGTTATGTATGAAATTATCAACCAAAACAGTTCTGGTCAACTCGGCAACTGCCTTTGGGAAATGTTGAAAATACTACTACAATTCAAAAAAAGCAAAAAAAAAAAAAAAGTAAATATATGTTATATCTATACAAATTATATAAAAAAAGATATGTAAATGTCTGCAATAATGCGGATTTTATTTGTGGGAGAAACAATAACTGATTTTGTGACACACGAAAGGCTAGCTGAAAAACAACATGTAGGTGACTGACTAATACGTGTGAAATCTGTAATTGTTTATTAGTAGATACTACGTATACGTGTTATTTATAAAGTATACGATTTTAATAAATGTGTATTATCCACTTGAATGATATCTAAAGTACGTAACATGAAGAAGAGCTATTTCAATATAAGTTGTACCATGTGTGCGTTCTGTACCATACAAATATACAGCTTGACTGAGTTAAATGTTATTTATACTATAGAATTATCTTTGTTCATCGGGCGGGAGGAAGGGGTGGTTCAATGTTTGTGGGACTGCAAACTTGTACTTGTGCGTGGGAACGTAATTTCCTGGGTGCAAATAGGCAACAACATTCAGCCACATGCAATTCTTTACTTAGAGTGGGTCCTCTAAATATAGAATTGCGCGGCAGATAAGTGTCGCCTATATGCATTCGTTTATACAAATATTCAATATGTTAACACAATAAACGTTCGTGGGTAAGTGTGACTTACAAAATCAATATGTCTTAACCAAGAAATGATGATTCCACATTAAAGAATGTAACAAATGACAACACTGTCCTAAAAACTGAAAGTATCAGACAATATGAGCTGTCTATAAACTTAAATCTAAAGTGTGTGCTATATGTGTCTCTTCAAAGAAATTCTAAGTATATGATTTGTATGATTAATATTTGAAATGTTTGATGTACAATACATTTTTTTACCAATAATTTTAGTCACAAAAAATACCTTTTAATTTTTCTTTTGAAATATTTTCTTCATTATTGATAAAAATCATTTACATGTAGCGAGGAGGAAGGAAATTGGCTAGGTAGAATATTCACTGGTACCCACAATGTATATATATTTATTTGTCAAGAATTTTCATGACACTTTGGTGTACAATATATACTGGTTTATATGTTGTTATTTAAATTTTATTTGGTTCTTGGAAATATTAAAACATTAAAAACTGGCATGTTTTTTGTTTTATTTATGGTGCTTTAACAGTGCTAACAATCGCTTCGTCACGTTTTGTTGACTAGCCATCAACTGAAGCTCGACCAATCAGCTAGAAGAAATTCTGCGCTTATTGCCCGGATGTGAACCATATCCCCAGCCCCTAGTTGAACGGGAGCCACTCCAGTGCAACTGGAATATGCAGTACACTGTGCTATATTGTTACAGGCATTCATCATATAGCACACTCTATTGACTAATAATATTAGGCCTTTCAACTAATTTTTCAAGTTGCACATATGGTTAAAAACATTGTATAGATAGATTTATAGGTACATAAAATTATCAAAAAAGATAATAACTTTATCTGGACAAATCTGGACAGCTTCATTCGGGAGGCCAGGAGAAACTCAAACAGGAAGAGAAATGTAAAGGACCAGGGGTAATTTAGCAAATATAGCTTTATGTAAATGAGTACAAATTCACTAACATTTTATTCTATAAATGCTCGTGGTTTAAATACTTATGGTAAAAGAATTTTTTTTTTTGAATGGATTAAGGATGCAAAATTTGATATAATTTTCTTGCAAGAAACACATTTTATTGAAGCAAATGAAGTAATTTATAATTCACGTTGGTATGGGTATAAAATTCATAGTTTTTCTGATTCAGTATATAGTAGAGGTGTATCTATTTTGTTTAAAGAAAATCTTGATATTGAAATACTAGATAAACATTTTTCAATCGACGGTAGAAAATTATTGGTAAATGTACAATTATCTGAACAAATTTTAAGTTTGGCCAATTTGTATGTGCCAGATAAAGAAAATGACAAAATTATATTTTTAAATAAAATGTTGAAATGGGTCAATAAATATGCTAAAAGCTTAGATAACTTAATAGTTTGTGGAGATTTTAACTGTCAGATAGATATAATTGAAAATAATAGAAATGTAAAGGCTCTTAGAAACTTTGCGAATTCATTAAATTTGATCGACTGTTGGTCCTTTAGTGATAAAAATA